GAATCCTTGCCTCCAGGCAGCCACCCAGTTTAACTCTTTCCAGGATGAATCTGTTTGTTTTCCTAGCAGTCCATGGTAGCCTCAATACTCTTCTCCAGCACCACAGCTCAAAGGCATCATGTCATTACCAAATATTTTTTCCTGGTCTGTGGCTTCCCTTTTCACCCGTTGGAGAAGTGTTTGGATGTGCATAGGGATTTGATTCTTAGAAGGTCCCATTCATCTATTTTATCTTCTCCTGGTTGTAGGTTTTCCAGGATGCTTAGAAGACTGTTAAAGCAGTGGATTAGGGCTTCTAAAGTAATTCCAAGCTTTTCTCCAAAACAACAGTCATGCGTTCTTATTTATTAATAGACCTTCTACTTAACACCTAACTAACCACTTTTTTTCCTTCTGAAAGAGTTTCTCTTACTTATTCACAGATTTACACACACTTTCTCATGTCTTCTACATCTGTTTTACATCTTTTACATTTATCAACTGTGAAAACTAGGCCAGGTGTTGATTAGACCATCTACTACTCATATGCAAGTTGATCAAACCCTTTAAAAAACAAAATAAGATCAGCCATGAAGAATGCAAAAGGTCGTTACGAAGATGGAGGAGGAAAACCAAGATGGATGTCAGAAGAGATTTTGAATATTGCACTGAAGAGCCAAAGCAAAGGGAAGAGATCAAGAAGTTAAGGAGCTGAACAGAAGATTTCAGAGGGCAGATGTGGAAGACAAAGCAAGTACCATTACGAAATATGCAAAGAACTGCTAAGACCCTTTCCAGCAGGAAGTAGATAGAGTGGTCATTACTCCTACTAACCTAATGGCAGGTAGAGCTCCCAGCGCAGAGGAGGTTGCAAGAAGCAAGAAAAAAAACTTCTACCATACTACCTCACTAGGAAATCTAAATTATTTACTTTCTACCGCTTAAATTACTTTATCAAATATATACACTATCTGTACTAAACCTATTGTATAAAGCAAATAACATATTTTACACTCTAAAAAAAAATCTGTATAAGTAAACCAAAACGGGATGGCCAAGACAGGAGCTTTCCAGTTTAGGACAAAACAAACACTGGGATGTTCAAGACTTTGATTCTAACTGCCTTCTGATAAAGGTGTAGTTATGGAAGTAGAAAAGGTCAGTAAATAAGCAAAGAAACAGTAAAAAAAATCTTGGAGTCCAGTTAACATTTTTTACTGCTTATGCAAGGTAAAACTTACCAATAAAAGCTATAAAGGACTACAGGTCATGAGGACACTCAACCATGAATTCCTCTCTCCTTACTTCTTAATTAAGGAGTCTTGATTAGTTTGTTCTTATTGCCTGGCACTTTCCTGTTGGTCAGAGAAAGTGCAACATCTAGTATTCTCTGATATCCACCAAGATCAATCTGACATCACCAATATGTTATTTGTTCCATGGTTTCTTCTGAATCCAGTCTGAAATTCTGGCATTACCTTATTGAGAAAACGTTTCAAGAATTTTGAACAATCTTCAGCAAGATACTACTTGAATGTTGGATATTTTCATAATCTGTTGGATTACCTTTCATTTATTTGAACACACATACGAATCTCTTCAGTTGACCAGACAGCTATCTTCCAAATTCCTTGGTATAAACCAGCAAATGTGCTTGTAGCTCTTTTGGACTTGTTCTAATTTTCTTCAGTTTCAATCTGCACATGAATATGAGTAATCATTCTGCAGTTGGCCCCTGGCCACCTTCTAACTGCTGATAGGAGTTTTATGCTACCTCTTTGCATGTTGCTGTTGTTATGTGCTGTTCAAGTGGAACTAACTCATAGCTGACCCATCAGTGGGTTTCAAAGGCTGTAATGTCATGGAAGGAGACTGTCCAGCTTTCTCTTTTGGATCAGCTCGTGATTTTAACTGCCTGTCTTTGGATTGACAGCTCAGCCCCTTACCTACTCCTTACCAGAACTCTCCTCTCTTTTCTTGTAATTATTTTTATTAGGTGCTGTCCAATCGACTGTGGCTCTTAGTAACTCTATAAATCTGAATCTTAGTCTATCTTGCAATTTCCTTAGCTGAATCTTTCCCTCTTTTGCAATATCCTCACAGTATCTGTCATGCTCAAGCCCATTGTGGTAGTTACTATTGTCAATCCATTTTGTTTGGTGAGATGTCTCTCTTTTTCTATTGAGACTGTTCTTAGGAGCTCTCAAGTTGACTACAATTTAGAGTGAACAGTGAATCTAAACCCTGCCCTATTCTGTGCTATTCTCATCATCTCTGACACACTTGAGTCTGCTGTAAGTTACACAGGCCTTATGTTAATTCATTTTGTTGAGGGTCTTCCCCTCCTTCATTGACTCTACCTTTCAAGGTATGATGTCCTTTTCCAAGGACTAGCCCTTCCTAAAAACATATCCAAAGTATGTCAAAAGAAGTTTCACATTCTTTGTCTTCAAGGCGCTTCACCCTACCTGCACCTTTTCCAAGATATACTTGTTTGTCATTTTGGCAGTCCATGGACTATCCAGCACTATTCTCTAACACCACAACTCAAAGGCATCAATTGTTCTGTCATATTTATTCAGTGTCCAACCTTCAAATGCACGGTAAGTGATTGAAAAGACCATTCCACAAGAAGCAAAATATGTTCTTGGATCTATCCCACCTGAATTTAAAAACCATCTCAAGATTAGGTTTGGAACATTGAGCACCAATGATCAAAGACCATATGAGCTGAGGGATGACATCAAGAATATCATCCATCAAGAATGTAAAAGGTCATTACAAAGACAGGGGAGAAAGAAAACACCAAACTGGATGTCAGAGGAGACTCTGAAAATTGTATTAGTATGTGGTCTCTTTGTATAATAGTAGTAAATATTATTGTTTTTAAGTGCTGTCAAGTCGTCGATGACTGACTCATAGTGACCTTATGAATGAAAGACCTCAATATTTGTATAACTTTTATCGTTTCTCCACGTTCATAGAGTTTCCGGAGGCAAGTATTTCGGAAGTGGATGCCACCCCTGCTTCTTATATATCTCTTCTGGTGGAGGCTCATGTGTTTAGCTGCCATTTATGTTTTTCAAGAAAGGCATTTATGATGAGTAAATAACTCTTTATATAAAATTCTGTCATGTGATCTCCACTGTGATTTCTGACACCAAATTAATATTTAAAATCTTACCTGTCTAAACACAGAATAGCTATCTTACACCATATTGAGTAAAAGTCTTCTAGGCTATGGTGACCTTAAATATTCCAAATGGGAATTCAGATATAAGACTCTTCCGCATTCAGAATCTCTTTCAACTATCTTGTTTTGATACACTTTCATCAGTTTACCACTTCTGTTGAGGATGTAAGGAAAGGATACAAGACTTGGAATGGGGCCACTTATTTGTTATTATCAAAGGAAAACAACTTTGGAAGGTACCTTAGTATGTGTTATATGAGCCAGTAATTTCCTTTTATTGTTATCATAGATTGAACTGTGTCCTTACAAAACATATGCTATAAATCCTAAGCTATAATCTCTATATATGTGGCTATAATCCCTTCTGTGAATGGATTGTTATGTTAATGAGGAGTGCAGGATGTGTCTTAAATTAGCTTCTTTTGAGACATAAAAGAGCAGATTAAGCAAACACATGGGGAAAAATAGATGCCATACTACATGAACGCTCCAAGGAACTAAGAGAAGTTGAAAAGAAAAGATTTTCACTCAGAGCCAAAAGAGAGAAAGCCTACCTTGGAGACCTGAATTTGGATGTATAGCCTTCTAATAAATTTCCATTTGGTAATGTCATAATCCACTTGCGGCAGTACTAGATAACTAAGACAACAGTTCATTCAAATGCCATTTTTTTTCTTAAATTATTTTACATTGGTTTGTATACAAAATTCATATACATTATGGCCTAGTGGCAAGAAGCTGTACTGCAATCCCTAAGGCCTCTAGCTGCTCCGGGGGAGAAGGAGAGGAGTCTCCTCCTGCGCCTCTGAAAATCTGCTGGAGGTCAGCTATGGGTTGGTTCTTACTCTATGATACACAATAGCATTCACTTCATATTTCATAAAGTCATTCCCATAAATTATGTTTTATAAACTTAATCCCCATTGAATTATGCTCACCATTACCACGTCTTTTCAGAGCCTCACCATTTTTAATGAGTTATTAGGGTTTGCATGAAAAGGTAACCTAGATGAAAAAGAGAATTCAGAATCATTGCTAATAGTTGCTGAACTTATTAGAAGGATACCAAATTATGAAAAAAAGCCATATAGAAACTATTTTAGTTTATCTTTATCCTTTTATTCTATCTCTGGTATGATATTTGCCTCATTAAACATTTTTTAAGGAGGGTAAAAGTTAGTGAAGTTTCTTTAGAAGCAAATGGATCCCATTCTTGGATTTGAGGATAATTTTGCGTATGAGGTGGGGAGGCCTAGAAGGGTCAGGAACCAACTCGAAGTGAAGCAGAGTCAAGGCCAGGGCCACTTTACATTCCAACATGGCAAACTGCTGCCCAATGCAGTTCCTAGAGACACCAAAGAAAGAAGAATGGTATTTGATAAAACAATACTAAAAATGTAAAATGTTTTCTATGTAACAATTTCTACAAAAGACAAAAAATCTATATTTATAGTCAATCCAGCTTGTGGAAAAACCTAGTAGAGTTTTAGAAACTTGTTTTAAATTAAATATGGTCTGATCATAAAATTGTTTGCTGTGAAAGACCTATAAATACTGGCTCTAGTATTCTTTTTAAAAAATCATTTCACTAAATGGTGAGTTGGATTGTCATTTTGTTCTGTAGGATCAATGTAACTAGAAAATTTCCTTCAGACATAGTAAAGAACTCCTACTTCTTATTATGATGTAGAAATTTCTTCATTGCATGAGATCATTTAGACTGGTACACACAGTGGATTATGCTGTCATTTGACAAAACAGCTTCATGCCAAGTGGTATGCCAAAGGACCGGGTACCTGGACTAATATTGCTTTCTGTGGGGTCAAAAGTATTGAACTATCTATGTTACTTGTCCTATGACAAGAAGACAGTTCCAAGACAATTGCAGGTATAAGGATTGTCTTTGGACCTGTTGTACAATGATCCATTTCATCCAAGTCCATGTGACAAAGATCATAGCTGTCCTTTGGGAAGTTAGTTGGTCTTTTCAAGGGCAACATTTGAACTCACTGGGCTTAAGAGATGACAAGCCAAGAACAGTGATGGGATGCCACAGAAATAAACCCTATTCACCGTTTATCTAAACTTCATGGTTTTGAGACTTTACCTTGATCCAGCTGAGAATGGTATGAAAGCGTGGGAGTGTCTCTTGTCAGAATTTTCCTTGGAGAATCTCAAGGGATTAAAAACCTGCAATGAGAATGAAATGCCGACTTCTTTTCCAGTCCCAAATAAACACATATCATTACCACTTTCCCAAAAGCTAACTTTAAAAAAACAGCCCTCAAATACATTGCCATCAAATCAGAACTGACTGACTTTCCAGTAGGTTTTTGAGGCTATAAATATCTTAGGAGACGATTGCTCATCTTTCTTTCCAGGAGTCACTGGTGCCACCTTTTGAACTTATAGAGAGCTACTACCTTTGAGCAAGCAGTGTAATTCCCTATGGACTATGTAACTAAGGGTCCCTTAAGAAAACTCTGTTGTTATGTACCGTCAAGTTGGAACCAACCCTCCAATGGGTTTTCAAGAGGCAGTAAATCAAATGGGAGGAAGATTGTCCATATTTCTTCTGCAGAGACGCTGGATTAGCAGAACTATTATCCTTACCACTAAGCCACTAGAGCTCCCAAAGGTAACTTTAGGAATTTCAAAAATTCAGGTACTATGGTATTTGGGTGTTATTCCCTAACAGCCTGCCACGGAAAATGTATCTGGGCAAAACAAAAACCCTATAGGCAAGGGCAAGGGCAAGGGTAATCTTTTAAATTTAGTAAACCATTAACACAGTCCTTAAAGTAATGTTTTCCCTTTCACAACTTTTATCTTTGTCCAGCTATAGGTGCAGTTTCTCTTGAATATTTGTTTTTGGAATACTCGCTCATTGCCTTTGAGTCAGAACCAAACTCATAACAATCTTATGAATAACAGATCTGAATCTTGTCGTATCCTGCCTGATCCTCACAATCTCCGTTATGTTCAAGCCCATTGTTACAGTCATTGTGTCAATCTATCGTGCTGAAGCTCTTCTCTTTCTGATTCTCCACCTTTCTCAGCATGCTGTCTTTTTCCAAGGACTAACTCCCCTTGACCACATAGTATGTGAGATGGAATTGCAGCGTCCTTGTCTCGATGGAACAAACTGGTTGCACATTCTCAAAGAGAGATTTATTTGTCCTTTGACAGTCCATGGGTTGTTAGATACTTTGTCAACATTATAATTCAACAGCATCGATTCTTCATTAGTTTTTCCTTGTTCATTCTCCTCCTTCCACTTGCTTATGAACATATCCTGACTTGGGTCAGGTGCAGTTTAGTCTTCAAAGTGACATCCTTGTCTTTTAGTTCTTGGCAGCAGATTTTCCCAATGAAACAGCACATTTTTTGATTTTTTAATGTTTTTTCTGGTACTATGATACAGATTGTGCATCCAAATAAAGTGAAATTGTTGACAACTTCAATCTTTCCCCATCTATCATCATGTTGCCTATTGGTCCAATTGTGAGAATTTTTTTTTAATTAATAAAGAGGTACAACCTATATTCAAGGTTAATGTTTTTAGATTTTTAAAAATCTTCTTTAGTAAGTGCTTTAAATCTTAACTTTATATAAGTAATGTTTTGCAATCTGTATTTACACAGGTTGTTGATATTTTTTCCTCCATCCTGATGCCACATTCCTTTTCACTTACATTGTTGTTGTTATGTGTCGTCGAGTCACCTGTGACTCTTAGTGACCCTACATACAACAGCCTTAAACCTTTCTCTATCCCTTACCAATCTTACTGTCTCTGACACACCTATCCTTAATACCCTATTGACTGAATCAATCCATCTCATCAAGGGTCTTCCTCTCCTGTGCTGTCCCTCCACCCTCCCAAGCATGACGTTCCTCTCCAGGGACTGATCCTGCCATTAGCTTTGTGAATTATTTGCTCAGGATACAGACTGATTAGGTGTGGAGAAAGGATACAGCCATGACACACATCTTTCCTGATTTTAAGTCTTGTTCTGTTTGGACCATTGTTTATTGAGGCAAATTTCACAAGAGCACAATTAAGTGTTTTGGAATTCCTATTCCTTTCAATGTATCCATACTTTATTATAATTTACACAGTCAAATGTATTTGCATAATTATTAAAACAAATAAATATCTTTCTGGTATTATTTGCTTACTGCAACTCGAGGTTTGAATGTGTTCTTTATTTTCTTCAGCTTAAGAAATGCCAAGTGGCATTTCCGGGCCCCGCCCCTCTGCGGGCTCACTTCCGGTGACGTCCAGGCCAGAGGTCACAGCGGCGCGGGGCCTGCCAGGTTGTTCACTCTGGCGGTTGCTAAGAGGAGCATCTCCGATCTGCCAAGTCCAGCGGAGACTTTGGGGGCGCAGGGCTGGGGGAGGCGTGTCCGGGGCGCCAGCCCATCCAGGGGTGGGGGATCGAGTCTGCGCGCATCGCCGCCCAGATCGTGGGGAGATGGGTCCCCAAGCCCAGTGGTGCCCTGCAGCCCCCGGGAAGTCGGGACGCCAGGCTTCGCCTGAGCGCTCCATGCCGCCCATTGGACTAGAGCCCGCCAGGATGAACAGGAAGAAGGGGGACAAGGGCTTTGAAAGCCCGAGACCCTATAAACTGACCCATCAGGTGGTATGCATCAACAACATAAACTTCCAGAGGAAATCTGTGGTGGGATTTGTGGAATTGACACTTTT